CCCTGCATTTAATATTCTATACACTTTTATACTTCAGTAGAGAAGGGGGAAGAAGGCAACAAAAGACTTCTTTCATGTGATACAAAGAACAACTCAAACAGAGTAGTTGTATTCCAAAGGTGGCCAAGATTGTACCTCATGCTGGCAGCCAGACTTTGTAGTAGGCAAGCGCCACCCAGGTGGTACTGATTTTTTTTTATTGGTGATGATGCAAATGAGTGGGGTTTATTATTATTATTATTATTAATTTATAAAAATTTCCACTTGCTCCCCTCCTCTCCATACCCCCCCACTCCCCCCACTCCCTCTCCTCCTCCCTCTCCTGTCCTAAGAGCAGTCAGGGTTTCCTGCCCTGTGGGAAGTTCAAGTTCCTCCCCCCTCCCTCCAGGTCTAGGAAGCTGAGCATCTAAACAGACTAGGATCCCAAAAAGCCAGTACATGCAGACGAAACAAATTCCAGTGCCATTGTCAATGGCTTCTCAGACAGCCCCCATGTCAACCACATTCAGAGAATCCGGTTTTGATCACATGCTCATTCAGTCCCAGTCCAGCTGGCCTTGATGAGCTCTCATTGATTTAAAAGGCATGAAGGGGTCATGGTTTGAGGCAGGGCAATAGTGCAATCACAAGGGAGTGCATGCAAACTCACAAAGAGCATGCAAAATTGGTCAAGACAACCTGTCAGCAGACCAACAGCATGGTAACTAAAGAGGCACGCTCCTAGCCAGTCACAACATGCCAGTAGTGACCGCCAGTTTCAAAAGAACCAACATGAAACTTTCCTGCCTCAACTTATTTTCCCTAACTATCATTAAAAGTCCCAACTTGTTTACAATAAAGAGCTTCTGTATTGGAATCTCCCATAGTCTACACCATGGCCTCTGTGTCTTCTCACCCACTGCCCCTTCCCCAGGCAACGGTGACTGTATAACTGGCAGCAGGAACAAGTATGCAAAAACTTTAACAGAGAGCAGCTGAGGCTTGGCGCTGTGAGAGGCTACGAAATTCCATTGGTGAAGATGGAGTCTTAGTGGCAAGTGGAAAGTCTAGAACGGATGGACTCATGCAAAGAAACTGAAGCTTGTCACCAAGAGGGGAGTCTATGAGAGGCTGTTGGAGAAAGTGAAGACAAGTTGCAACAGAAGAACCCAGTTTTTTGGACAAAGCGGTACCATTGGATGACCACCAAGAACAGCTGTAGTAGCATAGCCAAACTAGCAGGCCCCTACTGCAGAGAGCAGGGCTAGAGAAGTGACCCAAACCATCTGGAGGATTCCAGAAAATCATGAGTGGATCCCCAATACTGAACAGTTAGAATTTTGTCATTACTGAAGATGTTAGAGATGCTAGAGTCACAGAATAACCTGCCAAGGAGAGCTGCTAACATGGACTGGAAGCAGGAAAGAGAAAGAGTTGTGTTGCAGTCTGCACAGGTGAGTGGAATTGGAGACGTGGAGAGTGTTTGTTATCGGGCATGGAGAAGCAGAGTTTGAAATTCGTCCAACTGTTTTTCTGTCCTTCTTTGGTTCTACATATACTTGTGATTACCTTCCCTGCATTTTGGGATGGTTGTGTATCCCCTGTGCCTTTATTTGTTGTAAGTGTGTGAACTGCTTTTTTACTTTGAATTTTACAGGTGATTTCAGTTAAGAAATTGTCATGTGTCTCAGAAGAGAGTTGGACTTCGAACTTTTAAACATTGTTGAGACTGTGATAGACTCTGGGGACTTTTGAATTTGGACAGAATGTGTTTTGCATTATGATATTGTTAAAAGTTTATGGGCTCCAGGGAGTGTAATGTGGTAGTTTGAATGTAACTGGTCCCCATAATGCCATAACCCTGTCTTGTACAATACAACTTACACCTCGAGGAAAGAAAAGAAAGTGTCAGCAGATATCTGATTATTAAAGAAAGTTTTATTATTTGATCATTATTTTTAAAATTAACTTAATTCATTAACTTGTTATTTTGAACCAGGGCACAATTGGAGCCTATTCCCCTAGGGTTGCCCCCTCTGGGCTTCATTACAAATGACTAAGCACATAAAAACAATTTAACTTATCAATATTCACAGTAAACTCAAATCTTCATTTGCTGTTCTTTGGGTAAGAAGAAATTTCAGTCTACTTGAGGAATTATTGAGTCTAGAACCTAACATTTCAAATATAACTATGTTATTCTACACTAAGTAATTTCACTATGAAAAACCAAATATTAGATAACTGAAGCTTGTACTCATTTAATGTTCTCTTAAGAATAATTTTCTAACAGGTCTGTCTATGAATTAAAATCAAGCTTCCTGTACCAATGAGAATAATGAGAAAATGCTGAAATTAAATTTTATACCAAAAATGAGTGTTTATTTTAGGGTTTCAACTACCAGTATCTTTATACATAAGTTACACTAAAGAAAAAAATCATTAATCTCTTAATAGAGAATATAAAAATACTGATGTTTTAATATTGAAAGTTTTCATTTTATATGATTGAGAAAACAATGAAATTGTAAAATTTGCCTGTTATGTTGCAATCCAGTAAACAGCTGAACTAATTACTTTTTATAATTTAGGAGGTCCAGATTTAGTTATTTGAAAATACTCAAACACATAGGTTTTACTTAAATTCCCTAGGTTTTCAGCTGAGTTTTGCAATGAAGTAGCATGACAGAAGATAAAGTTGTCATCACAAACATGAGAACATATACACGGTGATGAAGACTCAATAGTGAGTCATGGTTCTGGCAATAACAAAATACAAAACCTAGCATAAGGTAGGTCGTGAGATGTGCACAGAAGCTTGGTTTTCCAGCAGCTGTTCAATAAAGGCAAATTGTAATTCTTGTCCATTTTCAAGGGTGTCATTTAAGTACTGTGCTTTGGATATATAAATTTCTGTATTGTGTAAAAATTTGTACAAGTGACATTTATATTAATTTAGGAGATGGACATATACTGTTTGGAAAACTAATATAAAAACTCTTAGTTAGTTTGGCTATTCACGAAATGTGTTACAGTTCTATCTTCTGCAAACTGCTATCATTGTACATCTAAGACAAAAGCCTAACTCATGAGAAATGAAGTTCCAATTCCAATTTCTCATTTACTACAAAAATAAATAAGTATATTATTTTTGAAAAATTATTAATTATCTTCACATTCTTTAAAGAATATGGAGGAGTGGACAGGGTACACTTTAGAGGTAACTAAAGCTATTGGAAATTGAAGTAGGGCAATTACTATGAGATCAATGACATATTGGGATATAAAGTGAGAAGGAATCTTACCTGTACCCTGCAAAAAACATAATTCTTACATATAATTTGATAACAATTAAAAATGTTCATAATATTTTATAGAATATAATACATATATAACACATTGGAGAATCATATATACCAATGTATTCTGTAATTTGTGTTTTTAAAAATTTGCTTTTGAAATATTTTTCTCATAAAACATTCTACCATATTACTAATGAGTATTAATTTTCATTGGGCACTTTTATGCCAAATTTAGCAAATTATTCTATAGGATTTCTTACATAGAAATTTAATTCTAATATAATACACTCCACGTATAACGACTCAAAAGGGTGTATGTCATAGGTGATTTTTGTACCTACGGCAATTTTTCTGTAGGTTATGTAGTTGACATATGGTTTAAGAAGGATTATATTTATATTATATAAGGATATACATATATTATGTACAATGTATTCTAATCGTATATGTAGTCTGCATATATTACATGGATTGTGTATATTCAGAGTCCATATATATGTATTCACAGAGAGAGGTACAATTCAAATTTAAAAGGCCATGAGTTTAAATGAAGATATAGGAGGAAGATACAGTTTCATTGGACAGCAGAGAAGAAGGGGGAACAGAAAATAATGTAATTATAATATCAAAAATAGCAAATTTTAAAAAGATACACCATAAGTTAGAACACAGTAAAACAGATAGCCTATATGTGTCTGAGATAGGGAATCTGCATATGTAACAACAGTCCATAATATGCAATATGAGGACTGGTATTCTCATAGGATTCCTAATTGTGGATGGAGGTTATCTCTGACACTTTGATTGTTCTTGAAACACTTTTTGTCCTACTGGGTTGCCTCATCCAGTCTTGATATGAGTGTGCCTAGTCTCATTGTAACTTTTTATGCCATCGTTAGTTGATATCGTAGGAGGCCTGCTTTTTCTTGAGGGAATCAGAGGAGGAGTGGATCTGATGGTGAATCGAGATGAGGGGAGGGACTAGAAGGAGTGGAGAGAGGGGAAACCAAGATCTGGATTTAAAATATGAGAAAATAATATTTTTAAAGATAAATAAAATTAAAAATAAGACACTGGGTAAATATGCACTGCTGTGGGAAATGTTCTTGCATCCTATAAAGATTTGTTACTTGTATTGGTTTAGTAAAATGCTGATTGACCAGTAGACAGGTAGAAAGTATAGGCAGGGTAACTAGACTAGGAGGATTCTGAGAACAGGAAAGGCTCCATCTGCGCTCACTAGCCTGATGTAGAGAAAGTAAGATGCGAATACACTACTGAGGAAAAATACCAAGCAACATGGGTAAACATAGATAAGAATTATGGATGAATTTAAGTTGTAAGAGCTAGTTAATAATAACCCTGTCCTAATAGGCCAACCAGTTTATAAATAATATAAACCTTAATGTGTCTTGCTCTGACTGAATGGCTGCGGTACCATGCAGGATAGGAACTCCATCTACAATACACACCTTCCACGTCATTCTGCAATTTTGGTATATTGAAATTTAAGTCACCACCATGTCTTATCCTCTTCTGTAGTTCTTAAATTAACATGATATGTGTGCCTATGTGTATGTTCCCATGCATCTTTCACCCTGAAAGTGTTTCTTCATAAATGCACATATAAATCTCACCTCGCTTATAGCAAAACTAGTCTAGAATCTATACAGTGACATGAATTAAAATGTGTTGATTACTTTCAATTCCTTCTATGAGATGTCAACATGGAGAACATCACTGAAGTCACTGAATTTGTACTGAAGGGCTTCACAGACAATGCTGACCTGGAAATCCTTTGCTTCTTCCTCTTTCTAGCAATTTATCTCTTCACACTCATGGGGAATTTAGGACTGATTGCTCTTGTCATTTTAGATTCCCGCCTACACAACCCCATGTACTATTTTCTGAGTGTGTTGTCTTCAGTAGATGCCTGCTACTCCTCCGTTATCACTCCACAGATGGTAGTTGACTTTGTGTCAGAGAAGAAGGTTATTTCATTCATTGGCTGTGCTGCACAGATGTTTCTGGCAGTTACTTTTGGTACAACAGAATGCTTTCTTTTGGCAGCAATGGCTTATGACCGCTATGTGGCCATCCACAGCCCACTTTTGTATGTAGTGATCATGTCATCCAGAGTCTATGTGCCACTCATCATTGCCTCCTATGCTGGTGGAATTCTGCATGCTGTTATTCACACCGTTGCCACTTTCAGATTGTCTTTTTGTGGATCCAATGAAATCAGTCATGTTTTCTGTGACATTCCTCCTCTCCTGGCGATTTCTTGTTCTGATACCCACATCAACCAGCTTCTCCTCTTCTACTGTGCTGGGTCTATTGAGGTTGTTACTATTCTCATTGTCCTGATCTCCTATGGTTTCATTCTCTTTGCTATTCTAAGGACTCGCTCTGCTGAAGGTAAAAGAAAAGTCTTCTCTACGTGTGGCTCTCATCTAACTGGAGTGTCCATTTTTCATGGTACTGTTCTTTTCATGTATGTGAGACCGAGTTCCACATATGCATTGGAGCATGACATGATAGTATCAATATTTTACACCATTGTAATTCCCATGCTAAATCCTCTCATTTACAGTTTGAGGAACAAAGATGTAAAAGAGGCAATGAAAAAAGTGTTTAGTAAAAGACAAATTTATGGATAAACAATATTTCCAATAAACATTATATGAAGATTATGTAAGTCCCATTCCATAAGAAAGTATGAAGATTTACATTTAAAATGTTCCTTTTTATTCATTAATATATTCCAATCCTCAGAAAACATGGAATTAAAGGCATTGATTAATTCATCTCTGGTATGCTTTTCAAAACAGAAAGACTATATCATTCACTTCCTTTCTAATGTTCAAAATTGTATACATTTATATGTATATTATACATAATGCTTATACTAGATAAAATGCATAATATCCAAATAAATATGTACATATGTGCTTATATTTTTATATATGCATATTTACATATTTTAACTTTATTTAGATGGTTTCATTTATTTATAAATAATATTTTAAATTCTCTCATCTTTATAATTTTAAACCATTTTATTTTTCTATCACAGTGGTTAAATAAAATTTTATTGACCTTGTTAAACTTACTTTTTGGCAGTCAGATTGTTCAGATCTTTAGAATCTACCTTTCTGACATTACTATGAAACACAGTCTTGCACAAACTCCTTGATTCTCTGGTGTTACAAAATTTTTGCTCCCTCTTCTACAATGTTCCATGAGACTTCTGTGCAGCACTAGAATTCTGCAACTCTATTGATTATAATTGTCTGTAATGGTCTTCTGTTGCAATGATCCGTTTTCTGGAAACACAGATATGTACTGGGCAGGTGATGTTGGGATATACGTATATGCATATCCAGAAATATTAAAGAAGAGGCCATGAATTAGAAAGAGAGCGAGGGGTATGTTGATATGTGGGTATGTTTGATACAGGACAGGGAAGTGAGAAAGGAGGAAATGTCAGGTCACTGGGAGGTGAAATTATAAATAATTTCCGGATGAGTGATAAGAATGATACCAACCAAACCACAGTCCTTTGCAAGAGCAGCAATTCCACCTAACCTTTGGTTAATCTCTCCATCTCCAATAATTTTATTTCTCTTAATGCAAAATTACATGCAAATTTTAGTATCTTTTCTATTTATAAAGAAAGTGTTCTGCTTTCCAACTCAGTGTAATTTGAACAAAGATTTCCCTTGTACTATAAATAATCTTTTCATATTTCCAAGTCTCCTCTACTCTACCTCCTGGCAATTTTTCCTACTATGTGGTACTGAATACTGAGTGTCTGAAAGCCAAGTCAAGCTGGATCACCCTACAGGTGTGCCACTGCATCCACATCCATTACCAACATTTCTGCTCTCACTCTAGTTGGGCTTTATTCTAACCAGGATTACTACCCTTCCTCTTCCAGAGCTCCTGATTCACCAATGCTTTCCATCTTCCCTCACTGGGCATTTTGTACTTCCCCAGTCGTTGTCTTCAGCTGATTAATATTCCTGCATCCCACCCAGACCCAGAACCCTGCACACTTACCACAAACACTACTGCTTCATCAGAGATGCTGAATTTCCCCAGATTAGGTGATTGATTAATATTCCTGCATCCCACCCAGACCCAGTACCCAGCACACTTACCACAAACACTACTGCTTCATCAGAGATGCTGGATTTCCCCAGATTAGGTGATTGATTAATATTCCTGCATCCCACCCAGACCCAGTACCCAGCACACTTACCACAAACCCTACTGCTTCATCAGAGATTCTGGCTTTCCCCAGATTAGGTGATTCAAGAAATGCTAGCAATTTGGGCAATAATCTGCTATTTCATGGACTACTTGATGTTATGTTGTATAAACTGGACATGCAGAACACACAGAAAAATGACTGCTGTACTTGCCTAAAGGTAAGACAGCCCTTCAGGGTTCCTGCTTTATGAAAGATTCTGCAAAATTGTGCAGGACACAGAAGAAAGTGGCAGACAAACTGCCAATATAGGCAAAACTGTCTTTAAGATTTCCTGTTTCATGCAAAAGTCTGCCAGATACTATGGGTCTGTAGGCCGAAGAGGAGTGCCACAATATTAGAAAAGAACTTTGGATGACTGTTCAGGCAGCAAGATGTCTCTGTCATTTCTAGAGTTTTGGAACTTGCTTACAAAGTACCTCCTGTTAACTTAGGTAATATTATGTCCTTCTGGAGTATCTGATATAGTTGAAGAATATATAGTTATAGTTTTTCTTAGTTATGATAAAAGATACAGTAGATATAAATATTTTAACTGTATTTCTTGTTGATACCTGATTTGTTATATGTAATTTTACTATGTTAAAATGAAAGTCTTCCTTTTTAGAGAAGGGGAAATGGTATGGGAAGTCCTTCTCTATATGTGTTGTTTTAATTGGTTAATGAACAAAGAACTTGCTTTGGCCTGTGAAAGGACAGAAGAGAGGTAGGTTGAAAAATAAACTGAATGCTGGGAGAAAGAAGGCAGAGTCAGTGAGAAGCCATGTAGCCACCTGCAGGAGACAGACTCGCTGAACCTTGGCAATAAGCCTCAGCCACTTGGTGATACACAGATTAATAGAAATTAACTTAAGATGTAAGAGATAGGCAAAAAAGACACTAGAGCTAATACGTCAAGTAATAATTTAATTAATATAGTTTCTGTGTCGTTATATTGAGTCTGAGCGGCCAGGAATAAATGAGCTATCTCCACACCATCAGTTGGACACTGAAGACATTCCACTTGGAGCTTTTTTATCTTCTTGGCAAAACTGGCCTTTGGGCAAAGAACTGCCCATGCCTCAACCACTGGCAAAATGCATGGTGTCTAGACTGGACAAGTAGGATCTAAACAAACAGATTGCCAAACCCTGGCAAGACAGGGTTTTAAAATGTTCCTGCATCTGTAACTGGTCTGTCAGTCACTCTAGGACTTAGTCAAAGTTGATTGCTTAGTGTTGCAACATATCAATTTGTCATTCCACACCAAAATATCAACCCTTAAAACAAACATACAAGTGGTACGCATCACATTGCTGCTTGACACCTTTACAGCACTTTAACAAGGCAGACCACACTTTCCCAGAACTTTCCAACTTTCATTTTTAATGATTCTCACTAGTAATGTCTTTCTCTTCTGTAAATTTGTGCAGGTTTTAATAAAGAATGAAAATGGCAGCCTGTTTAAAGAAAATAACTCCTTGGCAAAAAAAATCCCAGTCACAGAAAAACAAACCATCCCATTGAGCAGTACTAATTACACCAAGAACGGGAAAGTTATAGGTTTAGTAGACACATTGGATCCTGAAAATGAAATGACTACGGTTCAGATCCAGAGCCTAGGCTATATATATATAGCTCAGTTGGTAAACATGGAAAAATTAGAATTGTATGGTATAATGAGAAGAGAGTAATGATATGGGATGTCTTTCTGCATATGTGTTGCTTTTATTGGTTAATTAATAAAGCTGTTTTGGCCAGCGACTTAGAAGAGTAAAGTAAGGTGGAAAATCTGAACAGAGATATAGAGAGAGAGTAGGCAGAGTCAGAGAGACACCATGTAGCTTCCAAAAAGAAACTAGGCACTAAAACTCTAATTAACCCAATTAAAAAATGGGGTACTGAACTTAACAGAGAATTCACAACAGATGAACTTCGAATGGCCAGAAGACACTTAAGGTCATGCTCAACCTCCTTAGCAATCAGGGAAATGCAAATCAAAACCACTTTGAGATACCATCTTACACCTGTCAGAATAGCTAAAGTCAAAAACACCAATGATATCCTATGCTGGAGAGGATGTGGGGTGAGGGGAACACTCATCCATTGTTGGTGGGAATGCAAACTCGTGCAGCCACTGTGGAAATCAGTGTGGCGGTTTCTCAGGAAACTGGGAGTCAACCTCCCTCAGGACCCAGCAATTCCACTCTTGGGAATATACCCTAAAGATTCCCGATCATACTACAAAAGCATTTGTTCTACTATGTTCATAGCAGCACTATTTGTAATAGCCAGAACCTGGAAACAGCCTAGGTGCCCCTCAATAGAAGAATGGTTAAAAAAGGTGTGGAACATATACCCATTAGAGTTTTACTCAGCGGTAAAAAACATTGACATCTTGAATTTTGCATGCAAATGGATGGAAATAGAAAACGCTTTACTGAGTGAGGTAAGCCAGACCCAAAAAGAGGAACACGGTATGTATTCACTCATAAGTGGATTCTAACCATAATTAAAGGTCTTTGAGCCTATTATTCGTGATCCTAGAGAGGCTAAATAAGAAGATGAACCTGATGAAGATTATTTAGCTATCCACCAGGAGGTAGGAAATAGACAAGAGTCCCAGGTAACCTCGGGTGCATGGGGGGGAGGGAGGGTCGATGGAAGGGGAGAAGGTTAGAGAGAAGGGAGTAGGGGAAGAAAGGGGAAAGCTTGGTGGCCTGGGATGGGGGGGGAGGGAGGAAGGATGAATATGGGATCAGGGAAGATTATATTTCAACTAAGGGACCCATTTTAGGGTTTACAGGAGACTTGATTATATATGGGATCCCAGGTCCAAGGAGAGATCCCCCAGATTGCTCTCTGGACAGAGGAGTGGGTGCCTGAATCGGCCGTGGCCCATGTCCATACTGATGTATATTTTGCTTATCACCATAGATCCTGCATCTGACGAAGGACGGCGATACAGTCGGTGACCCATATTGCAGCACCGGACTGAGCCCCCCGAGGTCCAAATGAGGAGCAGAAGGAGGAAGAACATGAAAAACGAAATCAGTACTGCGAGGGATGCTATCACCCACTGATACAAGGGAACGGATCTGATGAGAGTTTACCAAGGCCAGTTGGACTGGGACTGAAAGAGGACGTGATCTAACCAGACTCTCCGAATTTGGCCGGATTCTCTGACTGTGGCTGACCCGAAGTCTTTCTGAAAAGCCATTGACTATGACACTGGGACCTGTTTCCTCTACATATAATGGATTTTGGGGATCCAGTCTGTTTGGACACTCACCTTCCTGGACCTGGAGGGAGGGGGAAGGAGCTGGAACTTCCCACAGGGCAGGAAACCCTGACTGCCCTGGGGGACGAAGAGGGAGGAGGAGGGGGAGTAGGGGGAGTGGGAGGGTGGTGGGAGGGGGGGTGGAAATGGAAACTTTTATAATTTAATAAAATTTACTAAAAAAAAAAAAAAGAAAAGAAAAAAAAAAGAAGAAGGATGTTGGACCTTTACAAATAAGACACAACCTTGTGGTAATACACAGATTTACAGATTATAATAATGGGTTAATTAAGATATAAGAGCTAATTAGAAACAGGACTGAATCATTGGCCAAACAGAGTTGTAATTAGCATAGTTTCCAAGTGATTATTTGGGTCTGGGTGGCTGGGAAATAAGTGAACAGTCTCTGTTTACAAAGTAAGATATCAGGATCTCGCCTTTCAGGAGCTTTAGAGGGGAGCAGGTGCATAAAGTAATATAAAAAATTGTAATATTGTTTCTGGTCCCCAGGAGAAGTCCTTTATCCAAGATCAGGCATTTGGATAAGGGGCTCCATTTCCTCAGGGCTAAGGAAAGTTTTTGCTTACTAAAGCAGTCACCTTATCTCTGGCAATCTGGAAAACAAAAAACCTTGTGGCCCTTCTATTAAGGTAGAGCTGTTACCTACTGTCAAGGTCAGTGTTAGATTCCTCAACCCCTGATCTCAGTCCACAACCCAGCTTACATGTCCCTTTTCTCCCATTTGGTACTATATGCAATAAAAGGTATAGCTTTTTTCAATAAACGCTGCTGCCATCCTCAGTATGTGTCTATCTCCTCCTCTCTGTGTTGACTCCACATTACCAGCTGCCCAAGCAGCTCTTCAGCATACAAGTAACATTATGCAGCAACTGATGAAAACCGAGGCAGAGACCCCCCCACCAGAGAACTGGATTGAGCTCCCAAAGTCCAGTTGAAGGGTGGGAGGAGTGAGACTATGAGCAAAGAGTTCAAGACCATGAAATAATCTTCCTGAGCTAATGGGAGTTTACAACACTAGCTGGACTGGAAAGGCAGAATCATAGGACATAAGTAGTCCCTCTGAATGTGGGAGACTGACTGAGCAGCCACTGGCAGTGGTACCAAGATTTATCCTTAGTGCTTGTACTGGATATTTGGGAACCTATTCTCTTTGGATGGATTCCTTGCTCAGCCGAGATTTAGTAGGGAGGGCTTGGGCCTTCCCCAAAGCAACTCTCTGAAGAGTGGATGGGGTGGGGTGGGAGGTATGTGGAGGAAATGGAAGGAGTGGAAGAAGTAGGAACTTGCATTGCTATGTACAATGAGAATAAATAGTTTGTTTTTTTTAGAAAAATAAAAAACAATCTTTTCTCATTTTACATACCTATTTCATTTCCTACTTCCTCCCCCTCCTTCCACTTTCTCCCCCTCCCCCAACCTGCCCTCCTTCTACCTCTCAGAGAGGATAGAGTTCCATGTGGAGCCAGCAAAGTCTGACACATCTTTCTGAGCCAAGACCAAGGCCCTCCCCCCTACATGTAGGCTGAGCAAGGTATCCCAGCAAAAAGAATGGACTCCAAAAAGCCAGTTCAAGCACTAGGGATAAATCCTTGTCCCATTGCCAGTGGCTCCACTGACTGCTCAAGTCACGAAACTGTCACCCACTTCCAGCAATCCTGGCTTGGTGCTAAGCAGATTGCCCCACTATCAGTTTGGAGACAGTGAGCTCCCACTAGTTCAGGTCAGCTGTTTCTATGTGTGTCCCCATCATGGTCTTGATCCCATTATCCATTGTACTTTTATTAACCATATCTTATTTTCCTAGCCTCATTTTTTACAAAGGTTATTCTAATAACCAATTACACAGGTCTATGAATGTCAAATGTATTGGTATCTGTGTAGTATTATCCTGTTGCTGGTTCATGTAATTTGAATGAATAAATAAAATTTATGCACTGGCAATGCTGAAGCATGCATGGGCAGCCTGTATATGATAGTTCTGTTGAACTTGTCCATATTTGGTTTCATGATCTAAGTCATTGAGGATGACTGACCACGTCACCATCTTTTACAGTTTCATGTGTTCACTCACTTAAAAAAGTTATTTGTTTCCACTTTCAGCAATTTAGAATCCTGCTACAGGGAAGACCAGCATGGGCTAATATCTCTTTGAGAATATAACAGTCATATTTTAATTTCTAATCCAGAAGTAATTTCACCAATTTCTCTACTCAATACAAAATTATAAAGTTAAATATACATTTTTCCTGATAATTAGTGAACAACCTCCTATTAAGTCAGTAGGCATGCCAATGCTTTAGGGATAGTCAACAATAGCTTACAACTCCACAGGGATTATTTCTGAAATTGAAGCATAATGCATAAGTAATCCTAGAAAATACAATACTAAGAAGCACATAGGAGAAAAAAAAGAAAAATGTTTTATTACAGGTAAGAAAGGTAGACGACTATGAAGGCTGTTCCCTGCTATCAAAATGCATAGGAATGGTCAATTATGATCTGGTATTGTCATCCAATATAAGAGAATATTTTTGGTTTATTTTTCCATAACTCTTCTTCATCATGTCTGAAAGACAGTAGCAACAGGTCCCCTCCTTTCCTCATATGATCTCCATGGGTTAGAGATTACATGTTCATATGTATATTTGCAACACCAAATCAATTGAAAAAATTTACTTAGGAAATATTTTATGTACATTAAGATGTATAATTAACACATTCTAAAATAAAGGGGGAGATGAAATATGAGTAAAGGAAGTCCACAATTTTTAGTTTAGAAATGGAAATATAAAAAATTAATGAATAATTTCATATACTTCAAAATATTAGAAGTTTAGAGTCAAGCATCTTTGTGATGTCCTCATTTATTATGCTGTTATGTGAGTGAGATTCTTTTTTTTAATCTGTTGTTAAGGCAAAAGTGTTTGGCAAAATAACCAATATATCTTATTGATTGACTCTGTGTGTGTGTGTGTGTGTGTGTGTGTGTGTGTGTGTGTGTGTGTGTGAAATGACATCAATAACTAGTTTTTATGGTTATGTTAAAATTGCCATTTAATATTGGATTCTGAAAAAATTATTCCACAGTAAGTATAAAACATAACAAATAGTCATTAATGGTATTGCACAATGACAAAGCAAAGTGCTTTTGTATACTTAACTAAAAAATCTTGTCGGGAAAGACCTCTTTGTAATTGCAATTACTGAATGTAAAATCTAATGCATTAAGCTTATGTATTTTAAATTCATGACTAGAAATATGTCACACTAGGACAGCAGCTGGGCAATCACTAAACTGAAGTAAGTGTAGTTTACATGTAGAAGGCTTTGCATCTACATTAAGTATATATGTATATATATTAAATTATATTGCTCATTTAGTCGTTAAATTGCCTTGTTTAGTTTTAGTGAAGGTATGTCAGTAGAATGAGCTAGAAATTAAAAGAATTTTCATGTGGTATAACCTATTGGGCCCAATCTTTATTTAACTATCTTGCCATTACTTTAAAATCTGTATAATCTGGCAAAGAAAATTTATTTCATTTAAGTACTGTGATAAAAAATTGTAGCACTGTACAAATAGAGGGAAGGAAATCCACGAGTTCTGGATCATTTTGTTCTGTACAGGAAGACTCTCTCTCTCTCTCTCTCTTTGTTTTTCTTCTTAAGAACTTTTTTTAACTACCTGGAAACATCAAATCATTCAAGCATCTTCCATCTTTCCAAACAGCACTGCTATGAATATTGCTTTAAATGAGAGTACAAAGTTTTAGATTATTATTTGTCAAATGTAGCCTTTGAATATATAAAGTAACATACTAGTTATCATACAAGCTGTACAATATGCCTGTATGTTTATTTATTTAGGGATAGAAAATTTCCTGAGTGATCAGTTATAATTATTTTATCTGACAATATTTATCAAGATTATTGACACTTTAAACTGCACCACCTGTGGGCACAATGGCTTTAAATAGCTTTGTTTATTTTCATTCTATTTTTTCTTTCTTTTGATATAAAGTCTCCGATATCTCAGGGTGGCTTTATGTTTGTCTGATATCTGAAGATGTCCTTGATCTGGATTCTCTCTGCTGCCACTGCCATAATAACAGAATTATAGGAATGTACTATACATTTTAGGAAATATCATGGCACTATTCTTGGTATTAATGAATGTTACTGAGTAACATCTCACCAGAAACTTCCTATTTAAAATGATGACTTCTGAGGCGGTAGAGATAGATGACTCAGCAGTTAAGAGCACTTACTGTCCTAGCAGAAGATAGTATATCTATATCTTTAGATCTCTCTTGTGTTTTTATATCATATGTCAGTCAGTAATTTACCTCTATTATTTATTTGTATCAAAGGATTTACTAGATGAGAGAAAAGTTATTTATACAATCATTATTTGGAGCTGGATGTTTTATAGAGCAGGTCATAATCTGTCTTAACTGTTACCTGTCTTAACAAATCATTGTCTATAGCAGTTCATATCTGTGTTGAGACAAATTATCTCTCAATTATGTTGTGTGTCAGTGAAATTACCTTACAAAAGAACCAGAGCCTACTGTTCTCATATATAAGTTTGCATCTTTAGGCATATAAAATGTACTTATTTTGAAATAGCAATTATTACATAATTTCAATAACAAATATTGCATAAATGATCAACTTATAATGAAATTAACAATATATTGAGTATTCAATTGTTCCAGTCCAGAATAGATTCAGTAATATGACTGCATGGAGAAACAGAACCTCACAGTCTTGAATGAATTCATCCTGATGGGTATCACTGACCGCCCTGAGCTACAGGTCCCACTATTTGGACTCTTCCTCATCATCTATCTATTCTCACTGCTGGGCAACTTGGGGATGATCCTCCTAACTATGGTGGATTCCAGGCTGCAAACACCGATGTATTTCTTTCTCAAACACTTGGCTATCACGGATCTTGGATACTCTACAGCTGTGGGACCTAAAATGTTAGAAAATTTTGTTGTGACCCAAAATACAATATCATATTATCTTTGTGCTGCACAGCTTGCTTGCTTTCTTCTTTTCATTACTTGTGAACTGTTTATTTTGTCTGCCATGTCTTATGACCGCTTTGTGGCCATCTGTAACCCACTGCTCTACCCTGCCATCATGTCACAGAGGTCATGTTGGGTCCTGGTGGCAATCCCATATCTATATGGTTTATTTCTGTCTCTTATTATTACTTTAAAGATGTTCACTTCATCATTCTGTGGTTACAATGTAATCAATCACTTTTTCTGTGACTGTATTCCTTTGATACCTTTGCTCTGTTCAAACACTCATGACCTTGAGCTGATAATTCTAATCTTTGCCATTTTTGATTTGATTGCTTCACTTCTAGTTGTTCTTGTGTCTTACCTGCTAATCCTTATAGCCATTCTAAGAATGAACTCTGCTGAGGGAAGGCGCAAGGCTTTTGCAACTTGTGGATCACACCTGACTGTGGTCATCGTCTTCTATGGGACTTTGATATCTATGTATTTGCAGCCAAATTATAGTCATTCACTTGATACCGACAAATTGGCATCCATTTTTTATACCCTGATTATTCCCATGTTGAATCCCTTGATCTACAGTTTGAGGAACAAAGATGTAAAAGATGCTGGACAGAGGATATGGAGGAAGATGTGCAAGATTTGATCTTAAAGGTTGCCTATGATATAAGCCATATCAATTTGTGTTAGAATTGGGTCTGTTGTGTTCTTTAAGATTATTTAATGAGCAAATATAGCCTTGAGTATAACAGTAGATCATTCTCTAGTGACAGAGTTTCAAGGTGGAAGTGGACAACATCTTATTGTTGTAGTTAGAACATACTTTATGAGTCAAAAATTGGCCAACATCCACAGAAAATTAATTCAAATGCTGCTGCCTATAAGAACACAGGATACCTCAGACAGAGCTGTCTTAGGCTGATAACTACAAATATAAAGCAAAGAAAATCATGCTCCTAGGAACCAAAACTGTCCTTCAAGTCCCCACACCCAGAGCAGACCTTACCATTTCTGCCATTAGTTGTGGACTAATAAAACTATAATTTTATTTGTCTTCATCAGGTGGTAAGAAGCTCAGTAACTGAGAATTAAAGGCTGACACCATGTCTAAGCACCAGAGAATTTTTCCTCACTGTCTGTATGTTGAAAATGCTATAGAAACACAGAGATTTAGCATCTCAAGTCTGGTTGTACAGACACTCTCAGTTCAGTTGAGACTATTTTTGTAGTTGCCATCTAGTTTTGAAATAATCAACTGATTGATTTTAATATGTGAATCACAATGATGTTTACAAAGCCTTTGTCATGTTTGTGGCTTGAGGTATAGGGAATGTGAAAATTATCCTTGAATAGAACTTACTAGGTGGTGTCCAAGATGTGAGTTCTTGATATGGATTAAATTAAAGGATTTTGTTAATGAGATTTAAACACGATATCCTAACATTCTTGAATAGCTGTTGCCAACTTCAGGTGTACCAGGAGAAGAAAATGCTGATCCTATCATTGTGTATGTTGGACCTGGTAAAAAGTTTTCAGAAGATGTAGTCATTCTAGTGCACCTGTGCTTACGCTGCTTCAGAAACAGATTTCCTCTGTAGCCCTGTAAATGAGATAGGTCATTGTTGAATCCTGACCAGCAGAGACATCTACAGAACTATTTATGATACTGTGTCAAGTATATTACAGCAGAAGGTGTTTCAGATTTGTTATTGAAAGAACAGTTGAGATTACAATAAAAAGAATGTGTATCATGCATAAGGACAGTGAGCTTTGTACTGTGGTCATTTGTTAGTTGATCGAGAATATACCCCTTCTGCTTTTAGCGACTTTTCCTTCTCTAAAATAAGGATTTTCCCTTTACTAGTAAACGATATTATCTCTATTTGTGAGAAATATGTTAATAAAGTGCTTGAAAGGAAACAAACAAAAAGAATCATGGATGAAGTGGATTCCCAACCAGTAAAATAACATTCTACTTTTACACCTGAAATCAATCACCAATGACATAGGGGGCAAACAATCTCTATGAACTTCTCGCAACACAAAGCAAAATTTCCAGCACAAAACAGAAAATTGTTATCAAAATTTTAAGATTTATAGTTTTAAACTTTTATGTGTACATATGTTTGTTTGCATAAATTTATGTGTACTACATGAATAGAAGAGTCCACAGAGGCCACCAGACCAGAGCACCAGACCCTGTGGAGCTGGAAGTACAGGTTGTTTGTGAGATACTTATGTGAATCTTCTGCAAGAACAAGATCTATCTTTTTGGGCCCTATTTTTCAGCAATTTGAAGAATATTTATTTGGCATAACAGGTTGATAAATGTATTATATATGATTTTTTTTGGAAAACTGTTAGTTCATATATCTAGGATTATTTAAAACATGTATTACACAGAGTAGAATTATGACAGGACTTTATGTTTGATATGCACTGAGTACATATATTATTAGCCGCAGCATTAAGGGAAAAACAGAGATGGTCATAGTCTGTATCTGAAGACCAAGTGAAGTTTCTGCCTGTAATGAGGAGGGAGATGTTTCCAGGCTAAATAAATTCTAATAATGTACATCCAGAGCAACATCCCATAGATGTAAAATAAAAAACAAAAATGCAATAAAATACAGGGATAAATGAGATTCAGAGAACATGGATAAAGAATAATTCAAAATAAAAAAGCTGAAAAGATTTTTGGTTTTGGATGCTAAATAAAATATGAGAATTCAAGAGTACTTTCATTTGTGCCTGTACTTTCCGCATACATGTTTCCCATTGCTGAATAGGTTTTGATATAATATAGTTATAAGTATAATTGCACATATTATTTAATTTTTAAATGAATATTTTAAATATTGTAATATTATTTCATTATTTCCTCATCCAACCCATCCCAAGCACGTTCTCTCTTTAAATTCAAGGATTTTTTAAATTGTTGTTATAAACACACACACACATACATTTCTAATCCTAAATATAACTTTTTCTTTCTGTATAATACTACCTGTGTGCATTTGGGATTAGAACTTTCAATATTCCTACAATGTAAATTTTGATTAATTGTGTGAATTTTAATTTTTTATACTTGTATTCTTACCTTCAAAAATTTTAAAATTCCTTCCCCAAACTAAAATCACATCAAACTAAATAAAAAATAGGCTTGTGTGAGTGCTGAGGAGTTCTGTCCAGAGAGGTGAGTGGGTGATCGCTGGGGCGGTCTGTCCCGGAAGAGAGCACAGGGCGCCCCCCTCAGCTTCTGCGGTAGGGTCTTTGGTGTTCCACGGGACTCCTCCCTGCCTCCACTGCCATGGCTCTTTTGTCTCCTCTGTCCTTGGAATACCAAACGTCCCTGTTTCAGTGCTGAGGAGTTCTATCCAGAGAGTACTGAGGAGTTTCATCCAGAGAGGAGGAGATGGGCAGGCGCCAATGCAAGAATTCCTCCAACAACATGAAAGGCAACATGACATTGCCAGAATCCAGGGATCACGAAACTAGAATTGAACACCCTACTCCAGAAGAAATAGAAGAAATCGATTCTAAGTGGATCTTTATGAAAATAACAGAGGAACTTAAACAGCAGGTGAAAATCTGCTGTAAAGAATTAGAAGATAAGTATAACAAAAAGATTGAGGAAATGAGTAAAGAAATGGAAGAGAATTATAACAAAAAGTTTGAAGAAATGAGTAAATCCGTAAATGAAATTATGAAAAACCAAGAAAAAACAAACAAAGAGGTAATGGAAACAGTTCAAGATTTGAAAACTGAAATAGAGGCAATGAAGAAAACACAAACCGATGGCCGGCTGGCTATGGAAAATCTAGGTAAATGAACAGAGACTTCAGAAACAAGCATAACCAACAGAATACAAGAGATAGAAGAAAGAATCTCAGACTGAAGAAACCATAGAGAAAATAAACGCTTTGACCAAAGAAAACAGCAAATCCAACAAATTCTCATCACAAAATATTCAGGAAATGAGGGACACAATAAAAAACAAAACAAATCTAAGAATAATAGGGGTAGAAGAAGGAGAAGAATTGCAGACCAAAGGTCCAGAAAATATATTCAACAAAATTATAGAAGAAAACTTCCCCAACCTAAAGAACGATATCCCTATGAAGGTTCAAGAAGCATACAGAAACTGAATAGACTGGATCAAAAAAAAATATATCCCCTGGCCATATAATAATCAAAACACAAAACATTCAGATTAAACAAAGAATATTAAGAGCTGCAAAGAAAAAAGGTCAAGTAACTTATAAAGTAAACCTATCAGACTTACACCAGACTTCTCTATGGAAACCATGAAAGTCAGAAGGTCCTGGATAGAGGTACTGCAGAAGCTAAGAGACCATGGATGCAAGCCCAGACTACTATACCCAGCCAAGCTATTGTTCACTATCAACGGAGAAAACAAAATATTCCAGGATAAAAACAAATTTAAACAATACGTAGCTACAAATCCAGCCTTACAGAAAGTATTAGAAGGAAAATCACAACCCAAGGAATCCAACATTGCCAACACTGCCTACCATAACTCAGACATCTAGTGACCCTTCACAAGCACAACACAAAGAAGGGAAACACATACACTCTACTACCCCCCAAAAAATAACCGGAGTCAACAACCACTGGTCATTAATATCACTTAATATCAATGGACTCAATTCACCTATAAAAAGGCACAGACTTAGAGATTGGATACGAAAACAGGATCCAACATTCTACTGTTTACAAGAAACACACCTCAACCACAAAGACAGACACCTACTCAGAGTAAAGAGTTGGGAAAAGGTTTTCCAAGCAAATGGACCTAAGAAACAAGCGGGTGTGGCCATTCTAATATCTAACAAAATTGACTTCAAACTAAAATCAATCAGAAGAGATGGAGATGGACATTTCATACTCATAACAGGAACAATTCATCAGGAGGAAGTCTCAATCCTGAATATCTATTCCCCTAATATAAAAGCACCCACTTATGTAAAAGAAATGCTTCCTGAACTCAAGGCACTCATCAAACCAAGCACACTAATAGTAGGAGACTTCAACACACCTCTCTCACCAATGGACAGGTCAATCAAACAGAAACCTAACAGAGAAATAAGAGAATTATTGGAGGTACTGAATCAAATGGACTTAACAGATATCTATAGAACATTCCACCCAAATAGGAAAGAATATACCTTCTTTTCTGCAGCCCATGGAACCTTCTCAAAAATTGACCACATACTCGGTAACAAAGAAAACTTCGACAGATACAAAAAAATATTAGTAACCACCTGTTTCTTGTCACATCACCATGGATTAAAGTTAGAATTCAACAACAGTGCTACCCCCAGGAAGCCAACAAACTCATGGAAGTTGAACAGTCAACTATTAAATCACCCCTGGGTCAAGGAAGCAATAAAGAAAGAAATTAAAGTCTTTCTTGAATTTAATGAAATTAAAGACACAACATACTCAAACCTATGGGACACTATGAAAGCAGTGCTAAGAGGAAAGTTCATAGCACTAAGTGCCCAATTAAAGAAAACAGAGAAAGCACACATTGGAGACTTAACAGCACACTTGAAAGCTCTAGAAAAAAAAGAAGCTGATTCCCCCAGGAGGAGTAGAAGATTTTTAATAATCAAACTGAGG